CAAGAGTCAATGTTTGTACACTCCCTTCCTGGTTTGGTCTGGGAAGGGAGTGAAGAAGCAGGGTAATGCTTCTGCACTTTCCCAAATCGGGGACTGCCTTGCTGGAGGAATTAGGGGGAGGGTGGGGAGATTCCCCCTCTACTTCAGCCCCCTCCAGACTGGTCAGGGAGAGGACTGGAGCATTGGGACAAAACTTTATACTCACTCCCACTGACTGGAGTCCCTGATCTAAGGAGCCAGGGCTGGGGATGGGAGGGTAGAGATTTGCCACACTGCTCAGCCCCCAGGCACTGGAAGCTGAGCAGAGTAGCAGCTGCTGCATGTCCACCTCTCCCTCTCAACCTTAGACTGGGGTCCCAGTGTGGTGAAGGCATGGAGAGCAGGGGAGAGGGGGTGGCTGCAGGCTGAACACCTGCATGCTCCCTCTCCTGGAAAAAAAATCTACCAGTAGAAATTTCTCACAAATTTCTACCAGTAGAAATCAATGCCTGTTCATGGCCAAAGGCAATATTTTCTTATAGTGAAAATACCTATCAGTTTTCACATATTAGCAGCCATAAACTCCTTTGCTAGCTAGCATTTTATTTTCTCCTCTCTACCCATATGAACATATTCATTCTTGTATCCAGCTTCAGCCAACTACCTGCCAACTACAAATTTCATATCGGGCAGGCTGGATCTGTTCAAGATTGGTCTGTTCAAACAAATCTGGGCCCCCTGCAATGCCATTCAGTGAGGGCCTACATTCATTTACAGCTCTCATTTGCAAGGCTCAAGTTTCAGCTTGCAATTCTCTCCTTCTACCTGCTTCAACAGCCTCCAGTGCTATGTTAGATGGGAAGGAGTAGGTGGTTCATTTCCATGGGAGAATAATCTTTGTGTGCAAAACTGATGCACATATTTCCTGAGACAGTAAGTCACATAATGGATAGAGCAAGTAATGCAAATGGGATTGCAGGGGGCCCAGATTTGTTTGAACAGACCAACCTATGTCTTGAACAGAGTTTAATCAGACTGTGGACATATTTAAAACTTCAAGGAGCTCAATGCTATAATAGCTCTCACAATATTTGCATCAGCTCATAGAAAACATAATGTGGCTCCAGAGCATGAACAGCAAACATAACAGAAATGCTAAAATGGCTCCAGTAACTTGTGGTTCCCTTCACCCACGCATTGGATAGTCATGTCTAAACCAGCCATTTGGCTTGGTGACTGCACTGTTTGTTCCTGAAGAAATGAATATTTGATGGAAGGTGTCATTAGCATTTTTTTTGGCATTTGAACATGCAGCCTTTAACAATTCCTCCTGGCAATCTAATGTAGTAGAAGGAATAGAAATGAGCTTATGGGACTCTGCTTGAGAGACTTTAGGATGATGGAACAATTGCTCTTCCTAAATCGTCTGGATTTTGTGTGGAAAAAAGAAGTTAAACAGTAGAATTTCCTTCATCAGTTCTTGAACCATGGCACATTTGGACTTTGGGTGGAGGCTACAAATAGATCTACCTGTAACTGATGAATCTAATAGCCTTGTGAAGATCATTGGCTAATACAATGAGCTTGCTCCTTTACTTGTATCCTGGGTGAAACCTCACTGAAAAATTTTCATGATATTGAAAGACCCTTACTAGAGCTTGTGTACTTCTATTGTCTTTATGACTTTTTCCTTATAAGAAGAAATTGAAGATACAAGAGAAAAATATAATTTTGGAGAGTATACCCTACTCCAGGATGAGATGCAAATGAAACATTGTCTTTTAGAACTCAGCAACTTCCCCATTTGGGTAATTGTTATGCCATGACAATCTGGTCTGACTTCAATTGTACATCAAGAAAAAACCAAAGTAAAGTCTTTCTGAGAAAACCCTACATATATCAGCCCTCTCTTACAGAAAGCAGGCTCCAAATGATCTGAAGATGTAGGACACAGCAACTGAAATCATGCCAGTGCAACAGCTACATAGACCACCCTCATTATTATTAGACCGGCTGCATTTTTGATTACCAGTGCTGCATTTCAGCGCCAGAGGGATTGCAGAGTTTGCCTTCTCACATGCTGATTTCCCAGTGGGGTGGTCCTCCTTATGCTGTAATAACTGGAGAATTGATCTGCTGTGTGGTACAAAGGGGAGATTGACTTAAAACAGAAGACAAAAAAAAAAAGAAAAAAGCCATGAGCCTGGCAGCCTCCCTGAGAGGTCTAGCAGGTCTCTTTACTAGTGATGATTTAGCTAACAAACATCTGACCTGCATCAGTTTACACAGCTATTTGGGCCTTTTCTTCTCTTTAGAAATAAATTCCTCAAGCCTCAATTGGAGATGTTTGTATGGCAAGGGAGATTTAATCCATACCAAGATTTTGGTCAGATATTTTTCAAGTACTGGTATAAATTTTTAATTTGGACTTTGATGTCCAAACAGGCCCAGCAGCTGTACTACACTTGAGGATCCTGCCAGAGGTTTGGCCTTCGAACAGACACCCCACACTGCAGCAAACAGCAGCCGAGATGACTACAAAATCTGACAGCCTGTGCTAAACTTCTGTGCACTACAATAAAGTGGAAATCAACACATCCTCCCACTCTGTGAGACTGGATAGAAGGAGCTTCTCAAAGGAGACCAAATGAAAACATAGTGTATAATGGCAGGAAATGCTGGGGCACTTGCATTTCCATCTGGGAAACATTCTAGGAATGTGCTCAGTAATACAGGATTAACACCTTGAAGGGAGAAAACACTCTGTGGGGATAGAAGGATAGAAGGAGCTTCTCAAAGGAGTTCTGGATAGAAGGAGCTTCTCAAAGGAGACCAAATGAAAACATAGTGTATAATGGCAGGAAATGCTGGGGCACTTGCATTTCCATCTGGGAAACATTCTAGGAATGTGCTCAGTAATACAGGATTAACACCTTGAAGGGAGAAAAGCAAATAAACACAACAGGAAGCAGTTTCATTATTTGTTTCTTTCTGTTCTGATTTTCTTTTCACATTATTTGTGCCATGTAAGCTTTTATTCTAGAGGTGGCTCTGGAAATTCATGCTTTCATTCACTGGACATTGACCAAAAAAAGAAACAATTTCTCTTCTAATGAATTTGAGGCCACTTAGGATTTTCAGGATGTCACTTTGCTGTATGTTGTGGCCACCTGTTACTCTGGATGACAGCAGAGCTGGAAGCTGTAACTTCCTGCTTGAAAAGCATAAGCTTAGCACGCTTAGGTGAAAGATAAAAACTCCAACAGCTGCTAACAGACTGGGGGTTTTGACATGATGTTTTAATTCTGTTCAGCATAGGGTGGTAACACATACAACCCCAAACTGAGAGGATATATGTATACCACGTTCCTAGTCCTCCAAGTCCATCCGATTTAGAGCATGTCTTGCCCCCCAATCCTTCCCACATGTGCCAAACCTGAAAATGTGGGAGTGAAGCTACTCAACAAGTGCCCATCTGAGTGCTTTCAATCATGCCATAGACAGAGAGCCCCAGGAGAGGGGTTGCAGAGTGCTTCACTGATGCACTTCCAGATTTGCCATATGGGGCAAGTGGGCAGAGCATGCTTAAGAGTGGCTGTCTCTCATGGAGGACCAGGCATGTCCAACAGGTTTTCCCAGAGTTTATTACACTATGCACAGTATAACTGATCTTAAGAATTAACCGAACCCTTGATTGTTTGGGAAAAAACCTAAACGTTGGATAAGCAGCAGCCCAATGAATGCTGTGCGACTACACCAGTCAACTGACAGCTTCTGCATTGCCATGGCTGAAGATATTGGGATTTGACAACAATATGACTTGCATGCATTGCTGACTCAGAATATTAGCTAAACCCCCAAAATAGGCAAATGGGGATAAATAGTCACTTCTCACTTTCATCTCACACTGCAGCTCTTGTCAATCTTGGAAACACCCAGAGTCATACCTCCTGCCCTTGCAAATTAAGATAGTATCCATTGGCTTGGCCAATCTGGCCTCTACCTCCAAAAAGGACCCCCTAAGTATTTGCCCCATACAAAAACATGCATTTCCTCATACTGAAGACACCCTGCACTGTGGCTATTCACTTTTACCAATAAGCAGCTTTATTATAGCAGGATGTATTGTATGTCAGGATTGACTGGCAAAGCTGCATGAGAGAAACCCACATAGTCAGGGCAACCATACATCCCAGGTTACCTGGGACAGTTCTGGATTTTGGAGGCCAGTCCTGGCCAGATGGTGAAAATTAAAATGAGTATCCCTGAAACGTAGGGCATAGTCTGGCAGAGAGATGGAGTGGCAGAGAATGGTGTGGCATGCCAGGCAGGCAGGTGGGCAGACACCACTGCTGCCTGTCTGTCTGGCACACCACGCCACCCTGCCCCTGCCTCTGCCTGTAGCAGCACCGTTGACTTGAATGGGGAGGGAAGTGCCCTGGATTTCCCATTCTCCCATATTGTCATCCTACACACAGTGCTTGTTCCTGCAGTGCCTGGCTCTAACCAACCATACCAGTCCATGAGACTCATGACCATCAAGTTCACTAAGATAAAATGTAATTGGAAGAAGTGGTGATTATCAAAGAGAGGTAAGGTAGCAAAATGCTTAGAATACCAGCAGGCAGCCATAAGACATTGTTTTTAGTGAATGTGGCAATAATGAAAGGCCCTAGAGAAAAAAGTGCTTTAAGCAACTAATTAATACAAAATAAGGCAGAAGTGCCAGTTCCCCAACAATCTGACAACACCTCCCCTAGGAGTAAAGGTGTAATGCAATATCTATGCCTGTTCAAGCCAAGATCTTTTTGCTGAAACTGCGATGGCATTCTTTGTGATATATACATGTGTTTCCCAGAGAAAGTGGACAAAGACCCACAAGTCATTTCACTGTGTGTGCCTGGGGACCTCCAAATGCCAAGGTAATTCAGTCCTTACCAGCTTGGTCTGAATTTAAACCAACAGGCTACAGATGAAAAGTCCCATAGTCCAATACTAATTCCATAAGTCTCTTGGCAGCCTGGGCATTTAATTCTTTCTCATTTGGAGAGATGGCTAGCTTTACACTAATCCAAGTAGTGCAGTGTGTCTGTGCTGCCTGCTCTGAGATGTGTTGAATCCACCCATTTTATTTCACTGAGGGCCTTGGACTTCTCAGGAACCTGTGGAGGCAAGTCAAAATGTCAGTGCTGCACTGTACAGGAAAATCCCTTTAAGCAGGCAAAAGCTCTTTAAAAACTTTTATTGTGGAGAGGGCCAAGAAGCTACTGTAAGTGGAAATCAAGCACTCCAAAGCAGCTGACTTTATGCAAAACAGGCGAGTGCAGTCAAAACACTTACAGCAATCAATTGAAGTTGTTGGGTAAAGTTTTTTCCATGTCCCATAAATTATTGAACAGTTAATTTCGTCTTTGTGCCTGCAAGACATTCTAGCTTTAGGATGACAGCTTTATCCATTAAAGTGAGTGTGGTGACAGCAGTACGGTGAGTGCTGAGAACTGCAGGGAGAGGAGGCCCATTCTCAGCTGCATTACCACTGAGAAATACTGGGACACATCAACATCTTAATCAATATGCGAGAGTCAATTACCGGGGAAGCACAAGCTTAAGCAGGATCTGATTTTAGGTTTGTGTTCAGTCCACCAAATGGGTGTAATCAATAAGGAGCTGAATATCATATAGAATACACATGACTGACCCTCCTAACCAAACTCTTTCCACCTGACCCCTACCCCCCCCCCCCCCCCCCGCCAGTTTCACATTGGCGCCCCCCCCCCGCCGAGTAGTTTCACATGTGCACCCTCTGCTCTTTCTTATATTGCAAAACCAGATCTTTCGCCATCCAATACAATGGACAAGAACATAAATACATGCAAAAGGTCAAATCCTGCCTTCAGCGAGAATATGTGGGATTCCCACTGAAGTCAGTGGGGACAACCCCCTCCCCCCCATCTTAGGTGATTCCAAGGGAAAGTTTTAGACCTTAGTGCCCCCAAGGAAAAAGAGACTGACTTCTCCCCAGGATTTTGTGCTTCTATGTTCCCCACTATATAAAAGGTTCCCAATCAACCAAGATTTCTATTTGGCGCTGGGCAAGCAAGCAGAAAGGAAGACTATTTTTGACTGAACATAGATATCATCACTTTCTGCCCTGATTTACACACAGTGTAACTCCATATCTTGAACAGAGATTCATGTGGGTAAAGCAGGACAGAATTTGGCCCCACAGCAGTGATGTAATCATGTATGTAACAACCTCATTTACTGTAGCTGCTGCTTCTTCTCAATTATTTAGTCTTTTAATTGTTTTTAAAGATAGTGAAGCTGAATGAGCTGAAATATATTTTTTTTTCAGGGACAGCTTAATGCCCAGCATAAATAGCTGGTGCCCTGAGGAACTTATGCCCACAAAATGTGTGTGTGTCCCTTGGAAGGGGGTGAGGGTATGGAGCTGAAGCAGTGATTGGGTGCTCAGAGCCTAATTTATCATTTTTTGAAGTGGCTGTAGTCACTGAGCTTACACTAGGCACCACTGTGACTCTGAGCCTTGTAAGATTCAGGAACAAATGAGTAATTAAGGAAGCTGTTTACATAAGAAGCTGTAACAAGACTGAACAGTGTACTCTTATCTGCCAGTATGAAAACATGTCTATGTAATGCTGGGTTAAGTTCTAAAGCTGCAGGAAAGGTAGTGCTTTTCTTAACTAATGCATTGTAGACCTGAACTTGAGCCTCCTAAAGTCGGTGGCAAGCCTTGCATTTCTTTAAGTAGTGCAGGATCAGACCATATGTCTAGTAATAAAACCACTCAGCTATCTCCTCTGGACTGACTCAACTCTTTGGTGGCCCTGTGCTCCAAAGGGAAATGGAAGGCCTCTGTCTCTTCCTATGCAGAAAGGGCCCCAGAATGAGGAGGCCTCAGATAATGTAAAGCTGGCATAGCTAGCCCTCACAGAGCCTGGATAAAGGGTGTAGTGCAGGGAGCAGAGTGGAGGGTAGGTGTGGCTGGAGTATAATCCCCACCTGGCATGTGGTCTCAGGTAGAGTACAGGCAACTGGCACAGGTTAAACAAACTTACTCTAGAGCAGGAGCCAGTGCGGACTGGCCCAAAGAAACAGGGAGCTGCTACTGGCTCCCTGACAGCCCCCCACCCTAGTCTCCTACACAAAATGGATTTCAGTGCCAGAGAGACTCCCTGCCATGATCTATCTCTGCTCTTTAGATACACCCCATGGGCTCACCACTTTCCCTGGAACTGTTTATTTGTGTATTAAAATCTAACAAATCCATGTGACGAGGAAGGGCCATTAGTGGCATAGGGCAGAGAGCCTGGACCCACAGGAGACATAACAGTTTATTATCCCCCATGTCCCTATTAGAGATGGCCTCAGGCCACAAGAGTTTATCTGGAGACATATCTGGAAACCCCCAAAGCTCAGGGAAGAAAGTTGGGGAATGAAGAGATATTTAGATTTAGGTTTTGCTTCATTTTATTCATAGACCAGGGGACAAATTCAGATTCACACTTGAGCTTGGATTTTGCACCCACCTTTGTCGAAAGCATTCAGATCTGAGGGTTTGGATCAGGCACAACTCCAATGCCAACAGTACAGCCATGTATTAAGAACCATGGACCAGAGAATTACTGGTGTACACCACTGACTTAGACTCACCAGCAGGGCAGTTGTGTATTCAGAGGACTCCACCTTCTACCTCTTCCGTTTCTATTATGCTGACCTCATGTAATTAAGTCACACTGCATGCCAGGACTTTCAGGGTGGAAAAGGTGCGTATCAGCAACTCGGAAAGCAAACAAAACAGGCTGATATCAGGCCTGTTTGAAACGTTCTCACCTTTATTTTTGTCAGAGAGAAAAAATATGCAAGAAAAAAAATTGGCTGTGTAAAGGGATATTGAAAGCATGACATATTTGTCTGTTAAGTATAAATATGAACAGCTATGGAGATCTGGTACTATGGTGCTAGGTTTTAACTCCAGTAACATTCATCTATTGCCAGGAAACACTAGATTTAGTACCTGAGGGATTGCAGTCTCAAATACCTTATACATTTTTTTTAATATGCTGCCAAGAATTTAAATTGGTAAAAGCTGGGGACTGACAAAAACTTGATCCCCAAGAGCTTTTCTGGCACTGGTTTATCAGGGAATATGGTACCATTATTTTTACTACAATTATTATTTTTTGGTGGTGGTCAGGGGAGCTCATTTATAACTCAGTGACTTCTACTCCCAGATGTATTTTTTTAAAGCTTAAATAAACAAAGGGGCTGATTTTCTTGGTGGCGCTAGGATCTGTCATTCATTTTATATGCAATATGCCTTCTTGGATTGTAGTCATTTTAACATACTTTTTGAAAGGTCACGAACAGGCAACAGAAAAGGCTGACTGCAGGGTACACGTTCTTTCCAAACCACTACCACCCATCCGGTGCCTCCCTGCAGGGGCTGTGGAGGACCTCAGAATATGTACATCAAATAAATCTCTTTGGGCCCAGTCTGACTCTCACTGAGGGATATGTATGGCCACAGGAGCAGGAGCAGGATTTCTGCAGGGCAGTGGTGTGAAGATGCAGATGGAAAGCTGGACTCTAGGACTGTGCGACATTTCACTGGCAATTTTGTTTCAATGCTGTTTTGACTTGTTTCGAGCTCGAAACAGCAAAATCAAAATGAAACAGAGAGCTTTGAAACAGACTCAAAATGAAATGAGGCAAGTCGAAACGTTTCAAAATTTTCAAAAAGTTTTGAGTTTGATAAAGGGGGCCTTCTGCACTGGATTTAGTCCTTAGGACATGTTCAACTGCCCTGAAAATCCTTTGAAAACTCCAAAATCAGGTAGAAAGCTATACAGGAAGTCAGCATCAGCAGTGGAATTACAACACAAGAGGTCTTCACTCATTTCACCAAGCCACCCTGCAGCCAGCAACAACAACATATGTGAAACACGATGGCATTATATACAGGACATCTTTATGACCCCATATTGCTCATAGCAGCTATATCCAGATCTCGTCTCTTACATATCCAATTCCACCCAGGAACAATTTCCAGGTGTTCCCTTCTCCCCAGGAAACTATCAATCACGTCTCCTGAATGGACACTACATGTCCTATACAGTTTGATATGCTTTCAGTTGTATTATAAGGTCAGATCACTTAGGAGCTGTAGTTCTCCTAATATTTGTACTGCAAATATGTTATCTGTTGGAGTTTTTTTTTCCTTTCTCCAACTCAGAGTACAAGTACCTTCCCACCTAGTTTACTTCTAGGAAGGAAGGAAGGAAGGAAGGAGGATTGGGATTTAGACTTCCATGTTATTGCCAAAAGGAAAAAAAAAAGAGGTAGATTTGGGGGAAAGGGCAGATTATGTTACAGAGGTGTCCCAAAGTGTTAAGGTATGAAACTGGGGAGTCACAAAGGCAGAAGAAGCTCCCAGACACTTAGAAATGCTGACCAGTCCATATAGCACATTGCAGAAATGCAGTCACTCTGTAGTTTAATGTGATTTAACAGAGTGATGTAGGTCAGCCCCTGAAGAAGAATTTTCTCTCCTCTTGGTCCTACAGGGGGAAAATTAGTGGACAGAATATAGAAGGGAATTTAGGTAGGACACCAAAATGTCAGCTTTACTCATGAGATGCTTTATAACTAATGGCAACTGTTTCAATTTTAGACATGGTCCGAAACATGGCAATCTGGTAGAAGAGTGCCCCTTATGATCATGTGGGGAATTGGTTTGGTGCATCCCACTTTCTGAATTGCGAGCATTACTTTGTGTAGCACCTTTGGCTTTCACTGGCAGCTACTCATGTAAATAAAGGTCAGGAACAGCCAAATGGTAGAGACTGACATTTTACCAAAGAAAAGAATTTTGTTTGAATCATAGCAACATTTATGGTAAATTCTCAAAAAAAACACACCCAATCCCAAAACCCATCTTTTTTGCTTGAAAAAAAAATGCATTTGTGAAGAAAATGGGGCAGCTTTTCCCTGTACTGAATTTGTGGTAACTTGGGAAAATAGCTGTTTTCATGAGAGTATTCACACTAGGTTTGCAATCCCTGTAATGCACATTTGGATGCTGATATACTGTCTTCTTTATCCTGGAATCCTTAATGGGCTTTCATTTTTTCTTAGAAAAAACACAGTAAAATATTCTCCTTTTTGTATCGCAGACATGAATACTTAACAAATTCCATTTATTGTCAAGTTTTCTACTTAAAGTGTGTAGCTTTACTTTAATTCTTCCAGCGCCCACATGGATACAACTAATAAAGGCAGATCCTAGCCAAATATGTTCCATACGAATACCTTAGATCAATGTGGTGGTAAGTCTCTTTTCATCTCCAATCAAACAACTCTCCCCAACAACAGAAGTCCTTTACAGACACAGGCCCATGATTTATGTTAAATACAGCAGTGTTTTTACTGCTTTTGGCACAAGCTGCTTGAGAGAGGTGAAAAAGACACTCACACACATACACTCTCACACACAAATCTGTTTAGAAAACAATTCCAACATAAGCACCATATACCTTTGACTTGTAGGTTCATTTCCAGGCAAGCAGTGATGGCAAGTACAATTTAGCTTCCTTTTAATTTTTTTTCCTTCAGAGGTGTGTGTGTGGGGAGGTGGGGGTCATTTCCTTCCTATGGGATTTTTTATTAGTTTTTTTAAACTGTTTTTCTTTCCCTCTGCTGTTTTACTGCCTTGTTTCTATCTACCCCTGAGGAGTTTAAAAGCCTCAAGTAAGTATTATTAGATTTTTAAAGTGTATTTTCTGATTGTATGCGTGTGAGAGTGAGCCTGGGAAGAAGGCTAACTGTCAGACATCCAGAGGCAGACTGTCAACTGGCGTAAACTGTTGAAGCTAATGGAGTGATGACAATTTACACCAACTAAGAATCTGCCCCTCTTTGCAACCATGTTCCATATTCATCTGACTGAGCACGGAGGCTAAATGATGCTGCATGTGATTCAATGTGTATTCTGTCAAAAGTTTCACTGCTTACAGAACTATGGCCCAGAGGGCTACATTGGTCCTTGCAAAACTGGATTTGGCCCACAGAACTAGGTAGGACAACTAGCATACTTGTTATTAGATGTCTTGGGACTGAGAGGGGAAAAAAATTACAATCTTTAAAATTAAAAGGTAAAAATATTAAGACATAAACAGACAATGTATTAATTTCAATGGACAAAAATCACTGCTTGGGATCCCTTTTCTTGGAGGGCCTGAAAAATCAGGATAGTGCCCCTCACAACTTCAGAAAAAGTAGACATTTTGTTGTCAAAGGTTCTTTGGGACTTAGTGAACTATGGTATCAACAGGTATGGTACGGGGGCAGAGGGAAGCAAGTAAGTGCTAGTATTGCAGGGCTTGCAGAATTACAGAGAACTTTGAAAATTACAAATTAATTATATTTTTAAAGTAAACATAAGACCCAGGGAACTACACAGCACCACAAAATCTTCCTTATGCTTTAGAGGAGGGGGAAGGGGCCATGAATTGTGATCCTCAGACTCTGCAAACTAAGGTGGGGCATAAATATTACATTCCTGCTCTTAAAGCATCTCATGCGGTGTCCTACAGCTACAGATTGACTGTGATTGTATCCACTCCCACAGCACAGGATGTTTATTGGAGTTGCTTGAACAATAATCATTGAATAATTTAAGTGGCCAACACATGATTTAAGTGGCAAATGCTTTTCTTCATAAGCTGGCCAAAGAGTATTTATGGAATAAGGTATTTATTGAATATTTTGTATCCATTTTCTATAAATGATTTTAAAAATGTTTTGATGCGACGTGGCCAGGTCCAGCTTTGATGGACTACAGAGCTCTTCTGTTCTATCAGTGCACTTAGATCTGGTTTCCTTCCTGCCCAAAGAAATACCTGTCTCTGGGGAACACAAGGAGTCAAACTTCTCTCTGGGTTAACTCAGCCGAAAGTAACAGTGCTCACATGAAAGATTACTTTGGCCCATATTGTTAAGTGACTGGTGTTGCCCTCATTCTACCTGCCTGACATGGCGTATGAAAGGCATGTGACACAACTAGTACATCAAACTCCCCTCCTGCGTTTTGTTACAGGAAAGACTCTTTCATATGTTTAAAATAAAGGGAAAGTAACAGGAAAATTAGAAAGTAAGATAGAAAACAGGATAGAAAACAAGCTTAAGCACAGTGGTATTTTATTCTTTGTTGTGTCATAAGGCCATTGACAAACCCTGAAAGGTAATAGTACTTAACACTTTTCTAGCACCTTCCATCCAAGGATCCCAAAGCACTTTGCAAACATTAATTAAACCTCATGGCACATACATGAGACAGGTAAATCTTATAAATCCCACCTTACATCATCAGAATGCATCAGATTGCATCAGAATGAACAAAAACACTGGGGGGCTAATTGGCATATTGAAAGCCCAGGTTTGCACAACAAGTACGGTTGGGAATAGAGCCCAAGAGCATTCTGCTGCTATAACAATAGCATCTAGCTCAAGGTCCCTCCTAGGAACCACTGGGTGAAGCTGCAAACCTTTAAAAATAAAAACAGATCTGTTTCAAAATGGGCTTTTCTTTCAAACCAAAGATAGCAATCATTTGTGTGCTCGCTCTCTCTCTCTCTCTCTCTTTTTGAGGATGACAGAGATGTCACCCCGGGTGAAAACAAGACAACAAGAGATGTCATTTATACAGGTTTGTTGTATGCGCCAGATTTCTGTACTGTGCTAGCAAATGCAAGGGAGAAAAATGTTTGATAATAACAACATGGCACAAAAAAGAGAGACAGAATTTCTGGAATGAAGGGAATTGGCTGGGAGGG